GTTTTCAGATATGGCTTCGATGAAATATGATATTTCGCTGCTGGATCAAAATACAAGGTTTTCGCTGTGACAAGTAAAGATGAGGGCTGTGTTGAAGCAGATGGAACTTGATGATGCTTTGCTGGGTTTTGAGAAGATGCCAGCAAATTGGTCTATGGAGGAGAAGCAACGGAAGGATAGGAAGGCTACATCATTGATTCATCTTCATTTGTCTAACAATATACTGCAAGATGTCTTGAATGAGAAGACAGCGACTGCTTTGTGGCTCAAGCTAGAGCAGTTGTGCATGACAAAGAATTTGACAAGCAAACTGACTCTAAAGTAGAAGTTGTATACCCATCGCATGGCGGAAGGAGAGTCACTACAGGACCATCTTGCTATGTTCAAGGAAATCGTTGCAGATCTGAAGACGTTGGAGGTAAAATATGATGAAGAGGATCTGGCCTTGATCCTATTGTGTTTGCTACCCAGTTTTTTTTCGTCATTTCGTGATACTATTCTGTATAATCGTGACACGCTTACCATTGAGGAGGTATATGAAGCCCTGTTCTCAAAGGAGATGATGGAGCTGTTGGTTGGAGATCCTACATCTAGGGATAGGGATGCTCTTATTACTCATGGTAATCGACGGAGGGGTAGATCGAAGGTAAGGTACAGTAATATGTATTGTTATTACTGCAAGAAGAAAGGACACATCAAGAAAGATTGCGACAAGTTGCAGGGTAAAAGTAATTTACATGCAAATCATTCAGGGCAATCTTGTAATTCGAACGAAACCAATGTAGTTGAAATTTTTTTTGATGATGGAGATGTGATGTTGGCTATATCTGATGGGGAATCCAAACTTGAGGAGTGGGGAGTAGATTCTGAATTCTGCATGTTCGTATCATGTGTGTCCTAATAGGGCGTTATTTTAGACATATGAGGCGGTGAAGCAAGGTGGATTTATCATGGGAAATAACCAATCTTGTCGGGTTGCAGGAATCGGTCGGGTCAGATTGAGGCTACAAGATGGGACAATGAGGACACTTGTTCAGGTTCTCCATGTTCTAGACTTGAGAAAGAATCTCATATCGCTGAGTACCCTGGATGCAAAAGGATATAAATTTTTTGGTGGTGGTGGAGTCCTGAAGGTTCAAAAAGGTGTTTGGGTTATATTGGAGGGACGATTGAGATCCCAGTTGTATATTTTGCAGGGAAGCGCAAAATCAGTTTAGAGACATTTGGACAAGTTTAGTACCGTGGTGGAAATTCAGTTAGGTACATTACCTCTCGTGTTAGGCTCTGGGTCAGTTTCTAACTTTGCTCGTGGGAGTGTTGGTGATTTTTCTTTGCAACCAATTTCAGTAGATACACTTTGTTCTTGTGCTAGTGAACTCATGGAGCGTAGGTTTAGTGGTGTCAATAATGTCTATAATGCCTTAGGGATTGTTGAAGGTGACAGTTCTAGCAAGGGGTCTTCTAATCATGCATTTGGTGTAGTTTCTACTACAGGGTGTACTTCGACCCTGTCTAGTGATTATTAATTCCAGGTGGAATTTTGGGAACCCGATTTTGGGTTTGGGTGTCGCATGTGGACGTCGGGCGGGGGAATGTGTTTTCTTTGAGAGTTAGGTTACTGTGTTGAGAAGCTTGATTATTCTAATACAGACGGATCATTTCTCAAGGTGGAGAAATTTGGAGCATTGTTCGTTGCACAGGAATTTCGAGTCAAAGTAGAGATTGTTAAATATGTGTTTCGAAATTTGGCAAGAATTTGGCAATCTTGGGGTTTGGAAAGAAATCTTGTTGGAGCCATATGGTTTTTGGAAATAATCAATAGGATTCAAGAAATATGGAAAGAATCAATTGGAATCCAAGATTAGGAAGGAAACAATTTGAAATCGTGAAGAAAGGAAAGAAAATTGTCAGACACGTGATACGTCTTTTTCTTTTACATGATTTTCTTTACGTGATTTTTTCCTAATTTTATATTTTTTTCCTAGTTTTAGCGTTTGACTCGTGTACTATAAATATGTGGCTCCTCTTTCAGTTTAGTTTAAGCCAATTGTTGTAATTCTCTCCTTTCATAGTGATTGAATAAAATAACATCGTTCCTCTTCAGTTCCCTTTTATTTTGCATCTTTTACTTTAATCTTGTTCTTGGTTATTTTGTGATCTTTATTTATACTTCATATTGGGTTAATCAAATCTCAATTCTTTAATCAAATCTCAATTCTTGCGTTGTCTTCATCGGTCCCAATAGAGTGGGTTATCAAGTGGATCCCCAAACTATTAGCTATCCAAATAAGTGAAGAACTGGGTCATGAGCAACACAAATTAATTAGGCTATTTCAAATGGCCCAATTAACTTCTTGGGTTGGGTCGTTTCAATTGAGGTGTCGATATACCGTTCAGTCATTAGGTCAATACCTAATGAATGATTAAACGAGTTAATATTATAGTTCGAGAGGTCGTTTGACAACAATTTGCCCAACAATTGTGTTTGTCGACATTTTGTTGTCGTGGGTAGTTCATTCCCATTTTGTATTCTAATCAATCTTAAGAGTGGATTTAGTATGCTCACTATCATTATCACGATCTTTTTAATGTAGTGAACGGTGCATCATGAAAAGATATACATATTGGGCCCTATTCAATTTCCATTCAAATTAATTTGCAATTTAAATCGTCCATTATTTTTAATTACAAAATAAGATTATAAACTTTCTGTCAAGTTTATAAGTTAATCCCTCTAAATTGTTTCTCAAAGCCATGAACTTTCTCCAAGTTTGTGATTAGTCCAAAACTCTTCTCTCAAGTTTACAGTAATCCATTTAAACTTTTATTCTCCATTTTATTTGAATAAATTTCCAACAGATATAGGCATAGAGATGTGAAGTGGATTCAATCGGTAAATCCAACATTACTCAGCCCTCTTGTCTATACAGACATAGACTAGAGAAAAACTTGTGACGTGTGACTGAAGATACCAGGCGGGAAACCCTCTTTTGACGGTTACCTGTTTTGCTTGATGGAATAATCCCCTTGATTGACTAACACGGTTCACTTTACACGTCTAAAAATATGATGGCTTATTTTCTCATGACTCATCCAAGTTAATAATTCAGCACCTATATCAATCTGACCTTAATAAGCACGAATAATGACCCCAATAGCTTGACTAGTAAATTGCAGCTTTTCAATGTACGTGAAAAAAAAAAAAAAACATAAATTCTCAGAAAAGAAGCAATCAACATATCAAATCTTAAACTGAATTGCCATAAAAATGAACTTTCGACAAGAAGTGGTGACAAATTTTTATGAAAAAGATTAGGACAAAATAGCCATTGCACCATGAAGAAATCATTGCCGACTTTAGCATGGATTTTCCAGATTCATCTAGGATTTTACCAACTTTATTATCCCTCAACCCCAGAAAAATCTATAGAATAGATTGAAGATATTGTCCATCAACATTCTAGATCTCTCTAGGAAAATGGCTTATAATCAATTAATTGAATTATCTAGAATCATCAACTTTTGTGTAGCAGAATTGTCACAACCACCTTGGACCTCTATAAATAGGGGATGGTGCATGGTAAAATGTGTGTGAAAAAGTGAGAGCAAGAAGAAAGAGTGGGAAAGAGAGATAGTGAGGCAGTGTAGTGTTTTAGAGATGAGTGTTTCCATAAAATCGAAGTGTGTCCGAAAGTGTGTAAAATCTATTTCATAAATAAAATAATATCTTTTTTCAAGTCTTAAATTCTACACACCATTTGGTTATAGAAAGGGATAGGCCATCATACATTCGAAATTTTGAATCAAACAATCAAGACGAAAGAAACTATTTTGACAAAAGATTTACACACTAACAACTAAAAGATTAATTTCTTGTATATGATTGAACTTCTTTAGGTAATTTCGTTTGCTACATTAGATGAAACAATTAAAATAGATAGACGTATACTCAATTTATGTCGATCAATTCATTCTTGCCCATTAAAATCTATCAAACATTCTCCACGACAATTCCGTGTTCTCTTCACAATCTACTTCATGCTTTAAATTCAGATGCCCTTTCCAAGTGAGAGACTCGAGTCTTCGTAACCAACTAAATGGTGACTCAATATAGAATCTACATCTTGAAACCGGCGAATATTTGTGCTGCAAGCAAAAAGTTTCAACGGTGCAAAGTTGTAATTCAGTTATTCTAGATGCTCATCAAATCTGAGAAAACCATATGTTATTTGAATTCCTCATAAATCCCGCATACATCACCGTTTAATATATTTTGGCTTACTATTTGGCCTAACCACCTGGGCAACTATGCCCATGTTCAAAAAATTCATAGAACATCTTGTATAAAAGAACTGTCAAAGACTTAACACAATTCTATTAAAAAAGTGAATAATATTTCTGTGAACTAGCATAGAATCCAATTCAATTGATGATACAATACAGAGAGGACATGGCTATATTTATAGAAGTCTTAAGTTCCTGCTTCACAATAGAATGTAAATTGAACTAACTGCTACTAACTATCAAACTGAATTGACCGCTTGAAGCTAAGCAAACAGATGTAACTAACTATCCTATACGAATTTCACTAATGGAAGGTTTGACGATGCATGTAATGTTTTTGGATTTTTTTTAATTTTTTTTTTGGCAGCTAGAAATAAAACCCGTTTTAGTTCCTTTCACAGTATGTTTTTTCCATGGATTGGATACAAAGAAGGCTAGCGAAATAAAAAGAGAACTACTTCCAGCAAAATGGTGGATTACTTTCACAGCAGAAACTTTTAGGGGGTTACCTAGCCAATGGAACAGTTAGAATTTTTACTACAAAAGACCTCTGGAGGGCCACAAACAATTACTGCGAAGATAACATAATCGGCCAAGGGGCTTATCGAACAGTATACAAAGTAATTTTACCTGATAATAGAGTGGTTGCCAAAACGAAGTTTGGAAAAAGTGATCAAACTCAAATTGGCTAGTTTATCAATGAAGTACTATGACTACTCATAAATATACAATCTATTACCATTATAAAAGAAAAGAAAATCATACACCGCTGAAAGAAGGTTATCTAGTTGGTGTATATTTTTACAAATTAATTAAATTGGCATTATCATATAATGCATTCTAAAAAGTATGTGCACACCAATGATACTTTCCTATGAGCTTAAAATGTAAGATATCCTATGAAACATTCTAGAGAAAGAGAGAGATCACAAGATATTTTGTTCCTTACTCTATAAACTAGAGAAATAAATATATACATCTTCTTATCTTCTCTATCTACAAATATGATCATGATCTGTGGTCATTTCCACAATCTCCACATTCCTCTAGTCATCTTCTCAAATTTCCACTATGTCAAAAATTTCACATTTGTTTGAATACAGTGATTAATCTTTTATAGCCATCAACGAGAAAAATCAAATAATTACCCTTTTCCCAATACTAGACTGAATATGTCAATGGCATCTCACATTCCTTGGAGGAGGTGACAGATGATTCTCTGCCGCCTTGCAGGCTTTTACCCCCAGTACCATAGTCACCATTCCGAGAAGAATTGGCGGTGGAATCGTTTCCGTGCTGGCTTGATCCAGGGAAGCGCCGTGAAATCTGGCCGTTGTCTACGCGGTTGCCGCAACAACAAACCTTCATGCAGGTGTAAATGTAGATTAGGAACCAAAAGAGCCATGGGGAGCCTATTAAGGCTAATGCTGCAATGGGATACCAAGGCTTGGAGAGATTTGGAAAGAAAACATAGAGAACAAGAAAGATTCCACCGCTTGTTAGGCAGAGGCAGAATAGGGAAGAGACAAGAGGAACCCTAATATCTCCTTCCTTTTCTTCCTCCATTCGAAAAAAAAAAAAAAAATACCCCTTCTGCGTCTCTCCCTCTAGGATAACAAATACCTATTTTTCTTAAATTCTTGTTTTTAGTTACAGCAATTCAAGAATCTATCTCTTCCTCTCTAGGATTTTTCCAGGTAATTAACTTTTGATGGAAAGATTCGATAAAATAATAGGAAAATTCTCTCTCTCTCTCTCTCTCTAGGATTCTTCCAGCCAAACAATGTATGACGGACAGATTCAAAAAATGAAAACGACAGGGCGTCGAAACCGGGAGGTAGTTTGTCAATTTTGGCAAAATGGAATGGTACGGGTATATGGCAACACTATATATATACACTGTACGCACACAGCCAAGATTGAATATTTTTACATTTATAAGATAATAGTCAAATAACCTTTTTTTTCTTTTTTCTTTTTAAACAGACAAAAAACTTGTTAATGAATCATTTTGTTTAGGTAAAATAAGCAATTAATCGGAATATATTATTTCTTCTTGCTGACAAGATATTTTAGAATGGCACAAAGAAATCATATTATATATAAATATCAGGAGTTGGAACAAAATGACAAGAGGTATATATTTTATTATATATTTTTCAATTTAATAAGATATTAATATATTCATATTTTTAAAACAATAGAATATTTTTTCTTCTGAAATCTAGAACAATTGAATATTGTAATCGATAATAAAACATGTTGCAACTCAATCACTTGGTGCCGTTGGTTCGAGTTGGGACACTCCTAAACTTTCTCAATTTCTTCGTGTCAAATTTGAACTTGTAGTCACTTATTACCGGAAATTTCAACAAATTCCTAGACTTGCTGCTTGCTATCTGCGGTAGTATGATTAAAAAGTGAACTCTGTGATTTTAATCTAGGCAGGAATTAATCATTGAAGAGTAATTAAAAATTAAATTAGAATTGCAACGATGGATTCGGATCTTAATGCCTTACTTGATTTGATTTTCCCTACAAGACTTGTAAATTTTAGAACATGCTTTTTAGTTGATTATTAGATAAATTCAAAATCAGCATCGCCTTATTAAATCTCTCTTGTTATAACCAGTTTTAGTTGAAAGTGTTAATTTATAAACAATCATTGGAAGAAGATACTCTACCTTTTTTTTATATTATTTATTTTCGATCCTTATACTTGCTCGAACAAATAGCAACTCAAAGTATCATAATGTGAGATTAGAGCCAAGTTTTAAGGTTTACTTTTGTATAAACAACCTACTCAGGCTTTGATACCAATGTAAAATATGCTTTCATGATTTTAATCGAATTTAAGTTGTGAAACTTACTTGAAAATTCCAAAAACGAGGTTGAATTACATGCCTATTGATTACCTGCCTCCAATACCGCCTTATACCGGCTTTTTGGTCAAAACTCGATCATCAAGAAAGAAGTTTGTTGTTCACAATTGATGCAGGAGGATTCGAGTCGAGTGATGCTGATTTGTCAGATAGCACGATGATGGCGTTGAGATACCATGAGATGACGGATTGGCACAAAGATGGAAAGTGAATCGCCATTATTTCCTTAATTAGGGGAATTTGACGCGTCTTTGGTAATTTGGTCCTAACTTTGGCTACGGTTATCGGAATCGCTATTATGACCCCAATCCGAAAAGCTCTCTTCGGTGCGCACGTCGTGGCCACCCAGCTATGTTCGATGGACGTCAATTTCGAGCCCAAAATCCACTGTTTTCTTTTCCAAAATTCAATTTTAAATTATTTTTTACTATTTACGGTAATATTTGGTTTCCTTTTTTCCATATGTTAGAAAACTCGAATTGAGCCAAATTTTTGGCAACTTACTTCTTTTACTTAATATTTTATTTTGGTATAATTTCAGGATTTTGCCATTTTTGGTAATTTTTCCATGATTTTGTATTTCGTAGCTATTTAACCCGGCTTGTGGGATAATTTTGATCATTCTGCATTATTAATAATATTGAGTTGAATTCAGAGTATTTTCTCTGATTTTTGGGCATTTTCTGTCGTTCTTTTCTTGCTAATCATCTGCTACAACAAGCCAATAGGATAATCACTATCCTACCCGGCGTCAGTTGGTATCAGAGCGTCAGCATCTTCTTGGGAGATAAATTCCATCAATTATAATGGTTGGTGGACGTGGTCGTGGTCGTCGAGGACAGGTTCCGATTGAGGAAGTCCCGCATCGTGATCGTAATATTCAGGATGTGACGATTGAAGATTTGCAGAGACAAGTTACGGAGTTAACCCAACGTTTGGCGGAGCAGGAGTTCGGTAATCATGATGTGGAAGGTCACGATTCCGATACCAGTTTCGAAAACCCGTATCACCATCGTGCTCGAGTTTGGGAGCATCGTGGATGGGAGGATCATCATGTGGATCTCGGTTTCAGAGTGGATCTGCCCGAGTTTTCTGGTACGTTGCCGGCTGAAGGATTTATTGATTGGCTGAATGAAGTGGAGCGGATTGTTGAATATAAGGAGGTTCCAGATCGTGTCAATGTGAAACTGGTCGACATCAAACTCAAAGGTTGGGCATCTGCATGGTGGGAACAGTTGAAGCATTCACGGGAGCGACAGGGAAAATCTAAAATTACTAACTGGGAGAAGATGAAAGGGCACTTCCTCCCTTTTGGTTATGCTCAAACCTTGTTTCAGAGGCTTCGTTCACTAAGGCAAGGCGCAAGATTAGTCAATGATTATACTGAAGAATTCTATCAGTTGGTGGCTTGGAATGATTTATCTGAGACAGAGGAGCAGATGGTAGCACGATATTTGGGGGGATTAAGGCAGCCCCTGCAGGATGTTCTCAGCCTTCATTCATTGTGGACAGTTTCCGAGGCATATCAGCGAGCACTTGTAGTAGAGAAACAGCAGAGTAGGAGGCCAGTAGTCAGAGGTGAAGGAAGTCAGCCAATTCGCCCTCAAGAATCTCGTCCTGCTTATCAGCCACAGCGGGATAGTTCCAGCTCAAGTATTAAGTGCTTTAGGTGTGGTGAACAGGGGCATAGGGCGACTGATTGCAGGAAGCCTGCTGGTCAGAAGAATAAAAATCTTCTGATTGAGGAGGATATGATAGAGGAGTTCGAGGAAGTTGGGGAACCCGTGTATGATGAGGGTGAAGATGAGGACGTGCTATATGGAGATGGTCAGGAGACCCTGGTCGTTCGAAAGAGCCTGCTGACTCCCAAGGGCTACTCAAGGGATGATTGGTTGAGGACCAACGTTTTCCACACAACCTGCACAGTTACTGATAAAGTCTGTAAGTTGATAATTGATAGTGGCAGTTGTGAGAATGTAGTGTCTGAGGAGGCTATCGAGAAACTGCAACTGAAGATGGATCGTCATCCCAAACCATACAAGTTGTCTTGGCTGAATAAAGGCAGTTAGGTAACGGTAGAAAAACAATGCTTAGTGTCTTTCTCGATTGGAAAAAAATATTTTGATAATGCTTGGTGTGATGTGGTATCAATGGACGCGTGTCATGTTTTGTTGGGACGACCTTGGCAGTATGATCGCAGTGTTATCCATGATGGGCGGAAGAATACTTATTCTCTTAGCATCAAAGGAAAGAGAATTGTTTTGGTGCCTCGCAGGGAAGGAAACATCCCTGCCCCGGTAGTTAATAACCCCAATCTACTTTCTATGTCCAGGTTCTTAGTTGAGGTTGGGCGTGAAAAAATAGTTTATGCTTTAATGCCTCGTGAAAATAGTAAAGCGAATGTAGATTCAGAATTTCCTGCAGAAGTGCAGCAACTACTGATGGAGTTTTCTGACTTGATGCTGGAGGATCTTCCTCCAGGACTACCACCTATGAGGGACATTCAACATCAGATCGACTTCATTCCGGAGTCGAGTCTACCAAATCGACCAGCATATCGCCTCAGTCCCAAGGAAGCTGAAGAGTTGCAGCGACAAGTGGTAGAATTATTGGAAAGGGGCTACATTCGNTTAATTAGGGGAATTTGACGCGTCTTTGGTAATTTGGTCCTAACTTTGGCTACGGTTATCGGAATCGCTATTATGACCCCAATCCGAAAAGCTCTCTTCGGTGCGCACGTCGTGGCCACCCAGCTATGTTCGATGGACGTCAATTTCGAGCCCAAAATCCACTGTTTTCTTTTCCAAAATTCAATTTTAAGTTATTTTTTACTATTTACGATAATATTTGGTTTCCTTTTTTCCATATGTTAGAAAACTCGAATTGAGCCAAATTTTTGGCAGCTTACTTCTTTTACTTAATATTTTATTTTGGTATAATTTCAGGATTTTGCCATTTTTGGTAATTTTTCCATAATTTCGTATTTCGCAGCTATTTAACCCGGCTTGTGGGATAATTTTGATCATTCTGCATTATTAATAATATTGAGTTGAATTCAGAGTATTTTCTCTGGTTTTTGGGCATTTTCTGTCGTTCTTTTCTTGCTAATCATCTGCTACAACAAGCTAATAGGATAATCACTATCCTACCCGGCGTCAGTTGGTATCAGAGCGTCAGCATCTTCTTGGGAGATAAATTTCATCAATTATAATGGTTGGTGGACGTGGTCGTGGTCGTCGAGGACAGGTTCCGATTGAGGAAGTCCCGCATCGTGATCGTAATATTCAGGATGTGACGATTGAAGATTTGCAGAGACAAGTTACTGAGTTAACCCAACGTTTGGCGGAGCAGGAGTTCAGTAATCATGATGTGGAAGGTCACGATTCCGATACCAGTTTCGAAAACCCGTATCACCATCGTGCTCGAGTTTGGGAGCATCGTCGATGGGAGGATCGTCATGTGGATCTCGGTTTCAGAGTGGATCTGCCCGAGTTTTCTGGTACGTTGTCGACTGAAGGATTTATTGATTGGCTGAATGAAGTGGAGCGGATTGTTGAATATAAGGAGGTTCCAGATCGTGTCAATGTGAAACTGGTCACCATCAAACTCAAAGGTTGGGCATCTGCATGGTGGGAACAGTTGAAGCATTCACGGGAGCGACAGGGAAAATCTAAAATTACTAACTGGGAGAAGATGAAAGGGCACTTCCTCCCTTTTGGCTATGCTCAAACCTTGTTTCAGAGGCTTCGTTCACTAAGGCAAGGCGCAAGATCAGTCAATGATTATACTGAAGAATTCTATCAGTTGGTGGCTCGGAATGATTTATCTGAGACAGAGGAGCAGATGGTAGCACG